TTTGTTCATTCATTAATGTGTCCCATCTACCTGGGAGGGAACCCAACACATCCTAGGCATTCAGTGTGAATACTTACTCAATGAAGAATTAATCAATTTTAAGACTCAGGACATGATATATTCAAAACCAGGTAAATCATCGTCACCAAAGCCTGAAAACCCATTGTTTCTGATAGATTCCAGATGATGCTGTTTATCTTTTTTCACTTTATTGGAACTGAATTATTGCTAATTTCAAACAATGAATGTCCTCGGTGTTAATAATTCTACAGCTACACATCTGTAAATAAAGATGATACATTTGGGAGGGAGCAGCTCATAGAATAGCCTTGTTATGGTTCCAAGTCTATGCCCCATACCTTCTTGGTAGTATTTACTTCTCATGGAATGTGTGTAAATCTGCCCCCAGCTTCATATGGTTAAGAAGTCTTGCATTTTGTTGACATTTGTGAATGAAGGACTAGATTCTTTAATAAAGGCATAGGTTGTGTCTCTGAGGGGAGGAGGAGGAGAGTGGTCAGTTTACAGTTACCCTAGTAATGTTTTTGTCCCTTTATCACTCCCACTTTGTATACCTCTTGCCTCAAGGGGTTTATGTTGTAAAGAATGGCTTCATGTCCACTATCATGTTCGCTGGTATGTGCACTGAGTACAGGGTCCTTTTTCACAGGTGTACAGCATATTTCATTACCTTTTTTTCTCACTAAATTATGAGATTCTTTGGCTTTTTCTCTCACTAGATTGTGAGATTTTTTTCCCAAAATCTTCATGCATTTATCAGTATCTTACATTTTGTATTACTGTAATTTCACTGTGCTTAGGGAGCAAAAGAGAAATAAATATGTATACTTTGATGACATATTGAACTGAAAGTAAATGAATAGTATGTATTGTACCTACTTATATCTACTAGGATATTCGTTTCTTCTCCTCCATAAGCTGCCATCCATATATTCTAGGTGAACTTTAGATTTGTTTTTTCACTGACTTTAAATGCACTTGATTAGGTGTTCATTGTATGAACTCCCACATACTTTTTGCTGTTTATGATGTCCCTGTATCAGGAAGTGAAAGTTAAATTGCTACTTTTAAGATAGGAAAGTATGTGTTCTAACGAAATTTCTTCTCAGAAAAAGTTGATAATTTCATTTTTATTGGATTAATTAAGAGAATTACTTAAAGACATTCTTTTTATTACCTTATCATATTTCTTTACATTAGAATCAAGCTAGTTTTTCAGTAGGTGTTCCGAAGATAAAGATTCATTTCGTTTATTCTGAAGTAGGATTTAGTGAGTAGCCACTTGAGAAAACTTAGTAAAATCTATATATTTTTTTCCCGAATGGGAAGTGGCAGTTTCATCCCAAAACTGTCTCCCATCCCCAGGTCCATGGAAAGATTGTCTTCCACTAAACTGGTTGCTGGTGCCATAAAGGTTGGGGATTACTGATACAGAGTATCTACAGTAACAAAACCTGTAGCCAGTATCTTGACGAAGCATTGAAAGCATTCGCTTTAAGTTCAGGAACAGGATAAGGATACCTTTCATCACCTCTTCTATCCAACACCATAAAGGAGATCTTAGCCGATGTGCTTATATAAAAACAAAACTATAAGAATTGGATATGAAGCAACAAAACTGTTTGTATGATGTTTATGAATACAGACATTAGAAAGAAGCTATAAATATATTACAGTAATAAAAGTACCAAGATGCTGAGTACATAATTAATCAGAGCTTATTATTATTTTTTGTTTGTTTGAGACAGAGTCTTGCTCTGTCCAAGTTGGAGTGTACAGTGAGTGGTGAAATCATGTCTCACTGCAGCCTTGACCTCCTGGGCTCAACTGATCCTTCCCCCTTGTCTGTAGAGTAGCTGGGCCACAGGTGCACGCCACCATGCCTGGCTAGTTTGTTTATTCTTTGTAGAGACAAGTTCTTCTTCCTGTGTTGCCTAGGCTGGTCTTGAACTACTGGGCTCAAGCAGTCCTCCTGTCTTGGCCTCTCAAAGTGCTGGTATTATAAGCGTGAGCTGCCACAACTGGCTTATTGTCAATATTTTTAACCTCCTCCCAGACAATGCAAGGACATTAAGTCACTTTAAATGGAAAATTCACCCTGGGGATGAACATCCCCCAATAAATGTTGGCTATGAATCATGGGTCAGCTGTTTGAATTTCTTCCTCCCCACTACCTTCTGACTTTGATCATTATCTCCTTGCCGTATATTTCTCAGCTATCTTTGGTTTTATTGTTTTCTGCAGTCACTTATGCAAAGAATAAGTTTGTAAAACCATTAATGACCACCAGGATTTGAACTGTCCCCTACAAAACTTGTTAATAATTTCTTTGTAGAAGCCTCATCTGATTTCTTTTTCTCATTTTTCAAAAATGATTGAGTTCTTCTCAATGAGCTGGTTGTTTTTTCCCTTCTTTCTTTCCTCTCATTGATTTTTTTTTTCCTTTCTATATTAAAAACATTGGGTGGTCTCCGTACTTGTTAACTGAACCAGTCAATCAGATCGTGCCTCCTGAATTCTTGGCCTCCTAAGATTACATAAAGTACTTGGGAATGGGGAGTTGCTAATTTCTACATACATTGTCACCTGTGTTCATAGCATTAAATTATATTGTTATCATAAAGCCAATTTAAGTTCATTTGTACTCCTAGCATGTACTCCTTCAGAAGGACTGTTTTCTTTATATGTGGGGAAGAGAGAACGGCAGTTACCCTTCTTTGGGAAGGTATGCTGCAATCCTGCTTTTACTCACTGTGGCAGATTGGTTGTCATACCACCTGGAAGAATCTCATCACAGCCATTTGGGGATCAATCATCAATTCAGTTATCCCGTCTACTCAGTAGTATATAAAATAAGTGGTGTGTTTCCCTGATAATTTATGCCAGTACTAAATGTTGAGAGTTTTTGCCGATAGTGAATCACCAGGCTTTTTGGTATTTCTCTGTAAAATCGTATCTTGTCTTTTTTACTGAGTACTCTTAGAACATAGTAGTCCCCTAAACTTGTCCATTAGCTGCATTGTCTTTGTGGCAACTCATAGTTTTACGTTCATTACTGTCCTAGTGAATACTTCATCTTTCCAGGTAGACATAAAAGCATAAAGAGGTCTTTGTGAGAGGAAAAACTGTTTCTCTTGCCATCATTTCCTCTTTGAAATGACTGATATTTATTAGAAACTCTAGTAACAGATAGAGAATGGGATTTTTCACTATCTTCTCTTCTGCATACTATTCCCTATCAGCCCACTAGCTAGTTCTCTTCATCTTGCCATTTCATACCAAGGTTAGGTAGGCAAACATCCTAGGATTCAATCCTTTGCCAAATTTTAAAAAATTCCTCCTCTTTCTTGCTAGAAAAATTTCCTTAGCTTTTTTGATTCATGGGTATAACAGAGAGTCCTGCACACAGCACTATTCTGAGCTAACATATTTTCAAGTCAGACTCACATGAACTTAATTACCCAATATTACCGAGAGATTACCCAGCTTTAAATTTTATTAATAATTTCAAAGGTACAGTCAATCAGGAGACTTAGAAGAAGTAGAGATTAATCTGGCACATAGAGCAAGGCTTCTTACTGTGTGAATTGATAACCTGTGCACCACATTTGAAGACCTTTTCTACTCTGGGCCAGAGATTGTATAGTCATATAGGGAAGGAAGGACTGAAGCAGCTGCTTTTAATATCCCAAATCTCTTTAGTCTGTACCTCTTGATTCCCTGTATTTTAAAAATTATTTTTAAAGCTTGACACTGGATAAGATCTCTGGTTCATGTGAGTTAGATTTGACACTCTGATCTTATGTATTCATTCACCCACACATGTCCATTCATTTTTCTCATTCCTTCCTTTTTCCTGACCATCTAGGACCAGTTTTCTTTTTCTGAACTAATTTTTTAATATTTCCTTCATTGTCCATTTATGTCAGTAGCGAAACAGAATGTTGTCTCTTTATCTGAAATGTATTTTGCCTATATTCTTGGAGATATTTTTCTCTACATAGAGAATTCTATATTGGCAGTATATTGTTGTAGGATAGGAGTTGGTAAACCTCAGTCCATGGGCCAGCTACCTGTTTTTGTAAGTAAAGCTGGAACCCGTCTGGGCCTTTTTGTTTACATATTGTCTATTGCCTCTTTCATGCAGCAACAGCAGTTGAATAGTTGCAATAAAGATCATATGTCCTGCAAGTCTAAAATATTTTTACCTTGGCAGTTTAAGAAAAAGTTGTTTCATATTACAAAAGAACGGGAGGTTGAAAATATGTGCTAATCTTATGATCAAGCATATAAAAATGTCTAATGAATGTCATTGGTCAAGGTTAAATAATTTTTGATAGTGATAGGATCTCAGGTTTTGTATGACACTTAATGTTTTGCTGTTGATGATAACGTCGTTATTGTTGATAGATACCTGTATAACTTTCACAAGCATTTGAGCCTAATAGCCTGTGAAGTAAATAGGGTCAGTATTGTCATTCTCTTTTACACATGAGCAGCACAGGCACAATGAATTTACTTAAAAATTTGGTGAAGGTCCACATAGCTAACAAATGCTAGAGTATCTGGGGATTAAATTAAGGGCTTGGGGCTTCACATTCTCTCATCCCTTTGACAGACACACTGCTTCCCTTTAAACCATACTTTTGTATGTCTTACATGTCTGTCTTCACCACCTTGTTGTTTTTTTGTTTTAAAGACACGTAATTTCATTGACATGTTATTCTTGATAAAGTTTGGATTACTTTTTAGACTCAAGTTTTAAATATTGGTTTACTTTGTTGCCATATTAACCAGAAACATCTTGGGCATTCATGGAGTAACCATAAAATAATTGTATTGTCCAAAGAACAACTAAACTTTGATTGAACATACTTTTTTGTTCCACAAAACAATATGAGTTGTTGGCAAAAGTTATGTAATTTGACTAGCTTTCAGAATCTGTTTAATCTAATCTAATTCATTGTGATAATTTTCAGACTAAATAAACTTGAAGATACTATTACACTAATTAAAGGAAAGATTGAAGAAGTTCATCTTCCCGTAGAAAAAGTGGATGTTATTATATCTGAGTGGATGGTGAGTGTTTACAGAAAAAAACTACCTTCATTAGTAAAATGAAAAAATATTATTTTAAGTAATGAGTAATAGTTTTCTTGAATTTAATTATATTTGATACATGGCAGAATGGTGACATTATTTTTTAAATAGCTACATTAGATGCTATAATGTGTAATTTTAAAAAACAGCTACAGTCTTCTTATGATAGTTTATTCTGAAATGGTGCTTATTTATTGGCTATTCATAATTTTTAAAAAGTGATAAATTATTTTCACCTTAAAAATCATAATAAATTATTTTTCTACTCTTTCAATAATAAAAGTATCAAGATGCTGAATACATAATTAATCAGAGTTTATTATTATATTTTGTTTGTTTGGTTTTAGATGCCTAAATGTTTGCAGAAAAGTTTTAGATACCTAAGTGTTTGCCCAAAAGCCTCTAAGGACTAATAAGGACTTATTAGGACTGTTTCATCAAAATTAACATGCTGTTGCCACTATTGTCATACTGAATGTCCTATCTTTCTAATCTATTGGGCTATGTAATCAATGTCTGTTATCACATAAAATAGAATTTATTGCTGTTATTAAAATACTAAAAGGAAGGTATATTATGTAGCTGTATAATTTGCTGTTAAAATCTTGAGTCAAAACAGAATATTTATTTTTAAATATATGAGAAAATAAAATTAATGGAGGCGGGGTATGGTAGCTCACATCTGTAATCCCAGCACTTTGGGAGGCTGAGGCAGGTGGATCACTTGAGGTCAGGAGCTCCAGAGTAGCCTGGACAACATGATGAAAGCCCATCTCTACTAAAAATACAAAAATTAGCTGGATGTGGTAGCAGGCACCTGTAATCTTAGCTACTCTGGAGGCTGAGGGAGGAAAATGGCTTGAACCTGGGAGGTGGAGGTTGCAGTGAGCCAAGATCACACCCCTGCACTCCAGCCTGGGTGACAGAGTGAGACCCTGTCTCAAACAAACAAAAATTAATGCTATTTGACAGCTGATTTGACTTACTGATATGTCAATTTGACAGAAATAAATTAGATAGTATTTCTAATAAAGATTTTAAAATTATTTTGAAATAATTTTTTTTCTTAATGTTCTATTTGGTAGATATATTTTCATGAAATAAGTTTATCAGAAAAAATTGAAAATGAATTTTGCTTTATAATTTTTTTTATAAATTTTGAATGAACAGTTATAATCCTAGGAAAACAAATTTCAAGGAACTTTTGGAGTATTCAGATTTAATGCAGTAGCGTAGGGAGTTCCATTCTAAAGCTGGTGACAGTCACAATTGTTGACAGTTACTATTTTGTATGAGAAACAGTATGTTGTTTTTTTAATGCTAAGATTCACTTTATACAATCTTTAGTCATATCAGTATTCTTACACCAAATAATTTGTATCAGGACTCTGATTTCTCATTAATTGAAGTAGTAGATATGAATTAAAAATTTAACATTTCTTTAAAGACTATGTAAAGATGCTTCTGAGAAAGCACATTTGAGGCATATATGACAAGAGTTTTAAGTAGTGTATGCCGTATATTTTACTTTTCTTGAAAAATGCATCTTTTAAATTACTCCAACATAGATTTAATAGGCAAACTAAAAGAAGTCTAAACTTCCTGTTACCTCAGTTGAACATTATTACGTATCTGATTACAATAACTAATGGGATAGTTCTTGCTCTGCCTAGCAGAATTATAGTTCTGGATATTGATGTTCTAGGATTTTTCACTTCCAAATCTGAATGATGATCTAGAATTATTAATATGCAATTATGTCTTAGACCAAGCTGTTATAATAACTGCAATTAGCTGAATTGAATGAATTCATGAGATTGTCTTTAAGATGTGAACTTTAGGACTGGGCGCGGTGGCTCACTCCTGTAATCCCAGCACTTTGGGAGGCCGAGGCGGGTGGATCACGAGGTCAACAGATTGAGACCATCTTGGTCAACATGGTGAAACCCCGTCTCTACTAAAATTACAAAAAATTAGCTGGGCACGGTGGTGCGTGCCTGTAATCCCAGCTACTCGGGAGGCTGAGGCAGGAGAATTGCCTGAACCCAGGAGGCGGAGATTGCGGTGAGCCGAGATCGCGCCATTGCACTCCAGCTTGGGTAACAAGAGCGAAACTCCATCTCAAAAAAAAAAAAAGATGTGAACTTTATTGAAAGTTGTACTGGTCTTGGGCTAGTTTGCCCTCAGATTTCTTTTGTACCCTTCTGCTTTCTTCTGTACTATGGAGGGCTAACCCCGGAGGCTTCCTTTCCCAGGCTCCAATGATGGCTGACTTCTATTGAGTTTGGAGAACCCAATAGGAAACACTGGAAATTCTAAATATCCCAAGATTCAAAAAAAGGAGAAGCCAGGGCATTTCTTCCCTTCTTTCTTTATCTCTAGTGTGTTGCTGACAAAAGCTGTTCTTTTGTGGTTCCAATTCCCACTGGACAGGCATGCTGTAATTCCAGCATCCACTGTGTAATCCCAGCCCTGGGTTCTTGTAGCAGTAGCCTAGGAATGCTAGCTTCTTCCGGGCATTACTAAAGTCTGGTTGTGTCACTCTCTTCTTGATGACTTCTCATATCTTTTATCCTCTGTATAAGTGACTTTTGACATTATTTTCCTCTATTTTAAATAGCTTGTGTGGTTTCTCTTTTTTTAGTTTGTATTCGTAACTCGACAGTCCCCAGACTTCTTGGCACCAGGCACCAGTTTCATGGAAGACAGTTTCCCCATGGACTGGGGGGTGGGGATGGGATGGTTTTGGGATAAAACTGTTCTATCTCACATCATTAGATTCTCATAAAGACCATGTAGCCTAGATCCCTCGCATGCGCAGTTCCAACAGGGTTCACGCTCCTTTGAGAATCTGATACCACTGCTGATCTGACAGGAGGCGGAGCTCAGGTGGTAACGCTTGCCTGCCACTCACCTCCTGCTGTGCAGCCCAGTTCCTAACAGGCCAGTACCTGTCCATGGCCTGGGGTCTAGGGACCCCTCATCGTACTGAAATAAAGAACACCTTTCACTTTAGAGCATTGGTCGGGTAAGACCTCTGCCTTTATCAGGAAGCCAGTCACTGGAGCCTGAGATGAAAGGAGCCAGATGTTTGGAAGCCAAGATGCTTGGAAGCCCTGAAGTAATGAAAAGCAAAACAGTGTGTCCAGGAAGTGATAAATAAGAACTTGTTGTCTTCCTCACCACAAAGGTGTAACTTAAGCATTTGCATTATCACACTGTCTGCCTTTCCTTGCTTTAAGTGAGTTGAAGTCTAGCAATTGTTTTAAGTGCTCTAGGTGGGACATTGGACACTGTAACTAAGCAGCAGTTATTCTATGGCAGTCAGCTCTGTATGGCCTTATTTCTCTAATAAAGTTTGCATTTAAGGCACTAAGAAGGCTTGTGCTAAATTATTTTGAATCATCTTTGTAGATTGGAAATAACATTTATGGTATCTTCTTAATCCTTAGTCCCTAACTTTATTTGGTACTTTCATTAGGATTTTTGATTAGTTACATAATTAAACAAGGGCCAGGTATGCTTTCTAAAATTTATTCTCCACGTTTCAGTCACATTGGCTGAATAGTAGGCAAATGGTAAACAACTATTTTAAATCTATAGCCACATTTTCATGAACCAGCATTTTAAACTTAAATTGCACAGACTCCTGTCTTTATTTATTTATTTATTTTTTTTACATACAACATAATACGGATGCAAAAATCTAAAATGAACCATGGTTAAGCATTTTTTTCTCTCTTTTTACAAGTATTTCCAACAAGGAAAGACAAAAATGGAGAATTGGGCACAGATGTTTAATGGACGTGTAATCCATTATAGCAGTGTATACATCATATATTGCAGAGATGTACGTCTGTTTTCTTCTACTGTGGTCCACTAACTATTCCATGGCTTAATCTAAATATGATTTTTGTCTGCACCTGTTCATGGATTTCCATCTTTATTTTGAAGGATTTTTCTGGATAAGAATAACTATAGTCCTCATGCTATATATTTTTATTTTTATCAGATGGAATTTGTTTGACACAATTGTTTCAGTTAAATGTAAACAGTTTAATCCCCGGAAGATGTTAATACATATGTCTTTATGTATGTGTCCTCATTTTTTCCACTTTAGTCTACCAATAGAAGTTCTTGTTTTGAGAGCTGTTCTTTATGACTTATTTCTGACTGCTTAATAAAACTGTTCAAAATAACCCTCCCTAATTCTGACCCAGTAAGCGAAATTGACTCATTTGGTACTGCTGTACTTCCTCTGTGTTTTCAGCATGACTTTGCAAGGACATAGACTAAATCCACAAGGCTTAGCATAAGTAAATAATGACAGAATGTGAATTTTAAGGGAATGTTCCCAGGCAGAAATTTGCCGGCCACAGACATTTGTAATTTTATGTACAGCACATGAAGGCATGGAGGTAGTATATGACAGGGTTAAGAATGTTGCTCCAAAGGCAAACTGCCTCCATTCTTGGGCACGTTACCGCTCTGTACCTCGATTTCCTTCTCTATAAAATGGAAATAATAGCATTACCCACTTCATAAGATTTTTGTGAGGATTAAATTAGTTAATATGTGTAAATTTCTTAAAACAGTTTCTGACACATAAGATCTCAGTAATTAGCTATTCAGTTTTGAAAGGTATACAAACTTTTGAGTACTCTGTAACTCACGAGAGCTACTACACTAATTCAGTAAATAACAGATGAAAATAATCATTTACATGAAGTAAAGAATATTAATTCTTGGAGGAAGAACATTCTTAGGGCTTCTCCCTTGCTCACAGCCCTTTGTAAAAAGCAGAAGACTTTCTCTTTCTATGACTAGCATTTACTAATTGACTGTCCATGGTTGGTGTGCAGAAGTATGAAAATTAGCTGATGAATATGAGTTATTGGGATTTGGGGTATTGTTGGTATTTTTCTTAACATTAGCATAATTCTGTTTGCTGCCTTGTAAACAGTTTTTAGGCAATGCTG